TGGGGATCTGTAGCACTTCCCCTCCCACCTCCTTGAATAAATGTGTATCTCTTAGCACTGTAGTCTGTTCTTCATTGTACTGCCTTGAAATAGGCCTCGTTAATATACTTCATTAAGGCTACAACTGCTGAGCAGACTTTGACTGGGATAGTAGCCATCTGCTGTTGGTCTCATTGAGTCCAAGTGAAAGGGAGTAGGGGGCGGACAGCGCTGAAAACTGTTTTGTCGAGGATCCAGTTGTACAGAAAGGAACTGACCTGAGGATGTGGGAGTACCTGAGCTCCACAAGGCAAAGGATTGGAAACACCCACCCTCCGCTTCTACTCGCAGGGTGAAATAAAAGATTGAGGTGCAGGTCTGGGGTGAAGTGAAGGCAGATCGCATGCCACCACTTGGCAAAGAAAGAGCTGTGCTGTCAAGAAGCAAGCCCATCTTTGTGGCTGCTTAATGAATATTCACAATTCTTCGGGCCAATCAACGCTGGAATGGAACGGAGCATGCCAACTAGTTAACCCTAGACCAATAAGCGTCGTCGGTGGGCGGCCTTTCTTAAAACTGACTTAATAGGAACCCTTAACCCTAAGAACACGGTTTCTGGACGAATATGCTGGCGCCGGACACAAGCGTCACTTCCTGCAGCACTGGCGGAAGTGGCTTCCCCACACATTGCGATTTTGAGCTGTGAGTTCTGGTAGTGACTGGTGGCGGGAGAGGTTGTAGGCGGCCCATACCGGAGAATCGCTATGGAGGCGGAGGATTCGGATGTCGTATCGCTGCCTCGTGGTCGCTTTCGCTGCTGTCTCTGCGACATTACTACAGCCAACCGTAAGCGGTGGCTAGTGAGGGAAGGGGGAGGTTGCAGGCTTTCACTTTTTAGGTGCTAGTGAAAGAGTTATTTAGGTTATAGTTTTTGCTGGCACTAGGGTCATCCACCTCTGTTTTCACTCAGTACGTCCCAGGGCATTCGGAGAGTGGGGAAATTCTCACCGGTTCTTCTCACAATGCAAAAGCTCCATAGTGAAACTTTCACTATTCCTTTTAAAACATCACCTTTGTGATGTTTTAAACATCACATGTTTTAAAACATCAGCTCTGTGCCTGGTGCTTTACTGGTCTCTGGAATCAGGAAGGGAGGGATTCAGGAATTCACTGTCTGCACTGAGACAGTTTCAGTACACCATGGGTATGTTTACAGAGCTGAAGCATCACAGAGAAGGCAGTAGTTCAATTGGAGACTCCCAATGGGGAGGATTTCTCCAGAGGCGAGGATGAGTGAAACATGGTGGCCTGAGTGAATGCAGAAGGTGCCAGTGAGGAAAAGGGTTTGGAAAGACAGACTGAGATTTTGTGACACCAAAAGACACTTAGTGACATCTCAGATCCTACTTTTGATGTCTAGAATGTGATCTCCCCTAAACAGGGTCTTCTGGTATTTTCTTTGTGAATGACATTTCCCCTTCTCCCCTCCCCCTGCCCCATCAGGGCAAGCCAGGAATTTAGGACAGTGCCTTGTCCCTGTACTTTCATGGCACTAAGCAGCTGATGATAAAATAATACTAATAGCTAATTTCCCACACTTACTACATACCAGATGGCCAGAGCTGTTTGTGAATGATACCTATGTGGTAGGCGAGATCATTTCCATCATATATGGGAAAAGGATACATTTGGAATACCTGCTATTTATCTCTGAGGATTAGTCAGGGCCCTAATTTATTTACTTCTACATATGACCTTGGACAAGTTGCTTGTTAATTCCTCTACAGTGGGCAGATGTCGCTCTGCTTAACACATACCATTGGCTTAAGAACTACCTGCACTGCAGCCCTCCCTCTTGGAAATCTCTTAGAGAATGCACTGTGTGGACAAAGGGGAAGAATATCAAACTCTGTCCAAATGTTACCCTTTGTCTTTGAAGGAACAGGGTTTCTATGTATAGAGAAGAGAGCAAGGGGACAGGTATACAAAGAGTTACTTTATATGCTTATGTCACACGCACACTTGTCTCTACAGGACCCAGCCTAGATGCCCACTTGAAAGGCCGGAAACACCGGGATCTTGTACAACTACGAGCTACCAGAAGGGCCCAGGGACTTCGAAGTGTGTTTGTCAGTGGCTTTCCCAGGGATGTGGGTGCTGCTCAGCTTTCGGAGTATTTCCAGACTTTTGGCCCTGTGGCCAATGTTGTCATGGACAAGGACAAGGTAGAGTGAGTGTCTTTGGGATTAATTTGTCAGATGGATTTGCCTTATATAAAAGAGAGAAACCAGCAGCCTGTTTTGGCAGTTTCCTAATGTGGCTCATCCTTGGTAGACATTTCAGAACTTGGAATAGCTTAGTTTTGGGAGCTTCTGCCACCTTGGATTTAATCCATTCACAAGAGTTAATTATGGAGGACTTGTTTACCAAACATTGTGTCTTTTTTGTTTGTTTTTTTCGAGACAGGGTTTCTCTGTATTGCTTTGGAACCTGTCCTAGAACTCGCTCTGTAGACCAGGCTGACCTGGGATTCACAGAGATACACCTGCCTCTGCCTCTTGAGTGCTGGAGTTAAAGGCTTGGCCAAGGCTCGTGGGGGCTGGAGAGATGGCTCAGCGGTTAAGAGCACTGACTGCTCTTCCAGAGGTCCTGAGTTAAATTCCCAGCAACCACATGGTGGCTCACAACCACCTTGAATGAGATCTGGTACCCCCTGTTGGCATGCGGGCAGAAGACTGTATACTAAATAAAAAAAAAAAATAGTAAAAAAAAAAAGGCTTGGCCAAGGCTCTTGACCTATTGCCTGCTAACTGCCATCCCTCCCCCCCCCCTTTTTTTTTTTTCCTTCAGTTCTAGGGGATTGCACATGGGACTTTTGAATGCTAGGAAAGTGGCCTCTGTCTATCTCCAAACCATCCTCATAGCCTTTATCAATCACTTCTTGTGTACTGGTGAGACAACTGCAATTGTGTGTATATGATATGACATAAAAGTCCACATTGTTTTGCTTATGACTGTCCAGTTGTCCTAGCATCATTTATCTATAAGCCCGCTCTTTCCTCACTATTATGTTGAAAAGTAGTTGACTATATGTACACAGTGTTCTGCCTGCGTGTATGTCTGCATGCCAAAAGAGGGCACCAGATCTCATTGTGAGCTACCATGTGGTTGCTGGGAATTGAATTCAGGACCTCTGTAAGAGCAGCCAGTGCTCTTAACCTCTCGGCCATCTCTCCAGCCTGGCACTATTTTCTTAATTACTTTATAGACTGCCTTTTTATAGGAACAGATGATATAAAAGGACATGCACTTTTACCCATAAGCACTCATGTTTGCCTTGCTCCTGCTAATGTTTTACCTTAAAAAAAAAATTATCTCACTGGCAGTTGTGGCACAGGCCTTTAATCCCAGCACTCGGGAGGCAGAGGCAGGCCTGGTCTGCAAAGCTACACAGAAAAACCCTGTCTCAAAAAAAAAAAAAAATTTAATTCAGCTCTGTTCAGCTCATCCAAATCATAATAGCCTTAGCTGTCATATTGTTGCTAATTCTAGATGGTAAGTTCCTTGAAGACAGGCTTTATTAGAGTTTATTAGCAGTAGCAGAGTTTTTACAAAATTTGTTATAGTTTGGTGCTAAGGCTTTTATCTAAGGCTTCCTACACAGTAGACAACTTCTGTATCAGTGAGCTGCAT